CACACACACACACACACACACACACACACACACACACACACACACACACACACATAAAATCTGTCTCAGGACATGAAAGATCCGGGCCCTGCATACTCCCTCTGAAGCAGTGAAATGGCTCTCATTGACTTAGCTGCATGATGAAAATTGTGTAATTTTGTTCTCAGAGCAAGGCCCCAGTCAAAAGTTTTTTTCTTACAGGCGTATGTGCCAAGTACTGAGTGACGTTTGTGGGCATGTTTGAGGCCATGTTTCCGTGAGACTAACCTTTGTAAATAAAGGTCGAATGAATGTTTGTCAATGCAGAAATGCTCCTGGACAATCAGCTGTACGACTCAAACACCTTAAATTAGTCAAACGGCCAAAAACTGCTGGATGGAGATTGTGCAGACATCATGTATAGAAGAAGTCTGTCTGCTGAAAAGTGTGGAGTTTTCTTCATGACAGATTTGTGGCCAAACGGCAGATGCAGATATGGAGTGGAGACTCGGCCAGGAAGAAACCTGCATGGTGATGTTTACTGCAGCGGGAGAAGTTTCCCAGGAGCTCTGCATCTGTGTTGTGTAGGGGCAGGGCAGCCGACTCAGGACCTGAAGGTCCGGGGTTCGATCCCCGGTCATTGCACATCTTGTGGTGTCTCTGAGCAGGACACCTTATCCCCAGTTACTCCCCCAGCTCTTTCAATAGCTGCCCACTGCTGCACCTGGTGATGGATGGGTTAAATGCAGAGAGCCAATTTTGCCATTGTATGGGAACATACAATGACAATACATAACACATTATTATTATTGTTATTATTATTATTATTGTGGACTCTGAAAGGTGTGTGTGAAAACAAAGTCCCACAACCACCTGACTGCGAGTCGACTGTTCGGCTGTGAATGGAATGCATTGGGCCCTTGGATTTGTGAGTCCTGATTCAGTGTGATGATTCGAATCTTTAACCAGATGCTTTCCACAGAACAGCTGGGTCAACTCTTGAAACTGTGCCTGCAGTCAACCTACTTCACATATGGGGAGCAATATTATAGGCAGAAACATGGGTGTGCTATGGGGTCTCCAGTTTCTCCTATTGTTGCCAACCTATACATGGAGGAGGTAGAAAAGAGAGCCTTAACGTCCTTTTCAGGGACACCATCAAGTCATTGGTTCAGGTATGTTG